ACCAGAACCAGAACCGGAACCAGAACCGGACTCCTGGGTTCCTGTCTCAGACTCTCATCACTGACTATTACATTCCAAAGAATTGGATCAAATAAATGTTTGAAGAAAAAAAAAAAAAAACCTGATGTGTTTCAAATACTTCACCTCAGTTGTCTCCAGCAGGGGGCAGCAGCTCACAGTCAATGATGTCGTTTATTTATGACGATTTGATGTTGGGTTTGTAACTTTTAATGTCTAAATGGGACCGAACTGAACTTGGTGTGTTCTGGGACTGAACTGAACTTGGTGTGTTTTTTGGGGGGGGGGCTGTGTGACGTCACGGGTCAGAAACATTTTTTTTATTACTCCAAAGCTTTAATAGCACAAACAAAATCTTTAAGATTTTTCAATATTTTGGACGATGTGTGTGTGTGTGGGGGAATTTTTTCACGTCGGTGTAAACCAACCAACATTTTTAATTTTTATTTTTAAAAATTTTTTATGTCTTCATTTATCTGTTACGTTTAAAACATACTTCAGGAGATTCACTTCTCAGTCGAACAGCCTTCGGTAAGGGGCGGGGCTTTGACGTAGCGGCGGGAAGAAAGTGTGCCGCCAACCGTGACGTCTTGTTGCTACGGTAACAGTACATGAACGTAAACAAAAGCAGGATGTCGGAGAGACGCGCACTGCTGCTGAGACCGTGAGTGGAGTTTTTAGTTTTTCTAACACAGTCCTTCGGCTTTGAGCTGTGGAAAAATACACCGTGTGTGTGTGTGTGTGTGTGTCAGGTCTTCGAGAGCTGTGACTTTGTCGAAGTCACGTGGTATGAAGGAGAGCAGCAGTGGAAGCAGACACACGCACGCGACCACGCGCAGCCAAACTCAGAGTGTAGTGGATCTGTCCAGCAGGAGGCGCTTCAGTCTGACCGCTGCCAGCAAAGTTCTGGAGAAGAAGCAGCTGGAGTCTGAGCCTGAGCTCCGGGTGAGCACCCCCCCCACTCCGCCCCCCCCCCGGCTAACTTTTAGTTCAAACTGGACATTTAGACTCGAGACTCTGCTGTTTGTTTGTTTTTTTCTCCTCCTGTTGCTCACGGTCTGCAGGTGTTTGATGAAGAAGGTCATGACGTCACACCTCGGCCTCTGCTGCAGGCAGATCCAGGGGCAGCACAGGCCAGGAGCTGCAGGTTCTACATGGAGGAAGTGTCTGCTGCTCCAGGATCAGTGTCGGAGCAGACGGCAGCCTCGGGCAGCCTCACCGTGCCCTTCTCCAGGTACACTGTGCTACCAGGGACGGTACCAGGGACGGTACCAGTGTCACTAGTCTGTGGTACTGTACCAGAACCAGAACCGGAACCTCATGATGTGCAGTTTCACTGCAGTAAACGGTACCTGAATCAGTTCTACCTGAACCGAGAGGTGAATGTTGTTGTCCATCTGTTCTCAGGTCAGTTTTGGGAAGCAGCAGAATTTCCAGCCAGTCCACCATCGAGTCGGTGAACGAGGAGATTGAAGAAACGTTTTCCAGACGAGACGTGATCATCACCGTCCCAGGTTCGTAATCGGTAGTTCGTGAATCTTCATGTCAAATCGGCATTTTATATTTGGTTTATTTTCTATAGTTTTTTTATTTGTTTTCAAACCATACATTTTGTAAACAGCTTAAATAAAGGACAAACATTTTACCAAAAATCTACCGAACTAATGCGATGGTACAGAGGCAGCACTACGTCCTTTAAGGGCTCCCCCTAGTGGTGAACTTTGAAAACACGTTTTTTTTTTTTTACAGATGTGCAGGTGAAAAGAGACACGGGGGACAAACATGTGACTGAGGACATGTTGAAAGACATCATCGATGTCTTTGTCTGTGAGACAGACACCATTTCACTGCTGGACCAACCCTGCACCGCCGTGTCTGCGGACGCCGATGACGCTGCTGCCGTCATGTGAGTGAAGGTTCCAGACGGAGCAGTTTAAGTGCAGAAAACAGTTCCTGGAACTGTCCTCAGTGACCTCACCCTGACTGGTTTGGTGACTGCAGCCTGGTCTGTTCTCAGGGACAGGAACAAACGGTACTCTGAGGTGTGCAGGAACAGGATGGGCAGTGACAAGTTCCTGGAGCGATCTGTGCAGACTCTGAGTGGAGCTCTGAAGAACAAACACGTCCAGAGTGACGCCGTGATCACGGTGGACGCAGGTTTGGATTGGTCTCCTTTTCTTTATTTGGGGGAGGGGTTGAATTTACAGGTAAGTAACCATGGTAACCTAGTAACAATGATTCAGTCGTACGTTGATACAGTTTTAGGTTTTTGAACACACTGTCTCTCCAGTGACGTCAGCTGAATGAAGACGACGTTGGTTAAAAAAGTCTAAAAACAAAGTTGGTGACTGGGTGAGGTGTAAGGTCCTCATCTGTCCACTAGGGGGTTAAACTGAGCCGAGACCGTGTGCTCAGAGCTGAGGCTGGTCTTCCGATGTCTGTCGTCCACAGCCGCGGCAGTCACGGCCTGGGACATGTACGACTCTCTCAACGCTTCAGACAGAGAAGAAGCCGAGCCGAGCTCAGACGCGGAGACGTCCAAGTGTCCAGATTCTGCGGTGGACGGGAGCAGAGGTGTGGACAGGAGCGCGTCCATGGTCAGCATGGCCAGCACAGGTAATGACCACAGACCCTGGACCTGAAGAGGACGTCGTCTGTCGTCTGTAAAGACGAGCTAACAGTTAGCCTGTCTCTGTGTCTCAGCTAGCGCCTCCAGCTCTCTGAAGGACGTGGACGTCTGCAGCAGCGTGAAGACGGAGTCAGACCTGCAGCTCATCATGCAGTCGGACAGATTCCACCATTCACTTCTGGTGATGGAGAGGAGCATCATGGGAAACACCTTCCAACCACTGCTGGCAGCGTACAGACAGCTGCCTGTCGTAGCAGGTTTGAACGACTCGCAGCTTTGGAGTCGGTCGCCGTCAGAGAACGAGTTTCTGTTTTCATGACCACGACCATCTTGTCCACACCAGACCAACAACCTGGGACCATGGAGCTGAAGGAGGACGAGGAGGACACAGACAGCAGACCGTCTCCAGCTCTGCAGCATCTGTGGGCTTTCAGCTGTGAGCTCACCAGGGGGCGCCGTGTCAGCTGCATGGCCTGGAACAAGAAGAACCAGGTGACTCAAAGTTTTAAAACTCCTGGTGGACAAGTGTTAGTTATTAATTTGTCCTTTAGCGTTAGCTCTATAGTGCCAGGACTGTTGAAGCTAGCGTTAGCTCTGGTGTCTGTACCAGGACTGTAGTAGCTAACGTTAGCTCTGGTGTCTGTACCAGGACTGTCGTAGCTAACAATAGCTCTGGTGTCTGTACCAGGACTGTTGAAGCTAACGTTAGCTCTGGGGTCTGTACCAGGACTGTCGTAGCTAACAATAGCTCTGGTGTCTGTACCAGGACTGTTGAAGCTAACGTTAGCTCTGGTGTCTGTACCAGGACTGTCGTAGCTAGCGTTAGCTCTGGTGTCTGTACCAGGACTGTTGAAGCTAACGTTAGCTCTGGGGTCTGTACCAGGACTGTCGTAGCTAACAATAGCTCTGGTGTCTGTACCAGGACTGTCGTAGCTAACAATAGCTCTGGTGTCTGTACCAGGACTGTTGAAGCTAACGTTAGCTCTGGTGTCTGTCCCAGGACTGTTGTAGCTAACGTTATCTCTGGTGTCTGTCTGTCCCTGCAGGACATCCTGGCTGTGGGTTATGGTGAACTGGACTCCACTGGTGTGGAACCAGGACTGATTTGCTGCTGGTCCCTCAAAAACCCCACAGTAAGACCTGCTGATCCTCCTGATCTTGGGCCGGGACGTTGTTGCAGCTGAGGTGTTGTGTTCTGCTCCACAGTGGCCCGAACGAGTGGTCCACTGCCACAGGGCCGTGACCGCACTGGACTTCTCGGCCCACTGCCCCGGTCAGCTGGCTGTGGGGATGAGTGACGGAACCATCGCTGTCTACAACGTGCAAAACCTTCAGAACCAGGAGTCAGGAGTGATCAGCAGCAGGTGGGTCGGTGACAGGTTGGTTTGTTACTGAAAATGTAGTCAAAGCTGTGAGTTGGACCTGGTCCAGTCACTGGTTCTGAGTCCTCATGTCTGTCTGTGTCTGTGTGTACAGTGAGTGTCCTAACAAACACTCAGGACCTGTGTGGCAGCTCAGGTGGACTCAGCAGGAGCTGAGCTTCACAGGGGAGGACAAACAGGAAGTGCTCGTCTCCGCCTCTGCCGACGGCAGGATCAGCAGGTGGTTCGTGTTCAACAACGGCCTGGACTGTATAGGTGCTGAACCCTCGCCCCGCTGAGGCACTTTACACTTTAGTTCAGACCAAAGTCCATGGAGAAAATCAGAGATTTTAGTTCAGACCAAAGTCCATGGAGAAAATCAGAGATTTTAGTTCAGACCAAAGTCCATGGAGAAAATCAGAGATTTTAGTTCAGACCAAAGTCCATGGAGAAAATCAGAGATTTTAGTTCAGACCAAAGTCCATGGAGAAAATCAGAGATTTTAGTTCAGACCAAAGTCCATGGAGAAAATCAGAGATTTTAGTTCAGACCAAAGTCCATGGAGAAAATCAGAGATTTTAGTTCAGACCAAAGTCCATGGAGAAAATCAGAGATTTTAGTTCAGACCAAAGTCCATGGAGAAAATCAGAGATTTTAATGTGATAGAGTAAACACTTTTTTATCATGGTCCAGGTTGTTATGGTTGTTAAGGTAACTTGTATATTATTTTTTTGTCGTTGGTCAAATGCGTTTCCACGGTGACCAGTTCTATGTTTGGTCAAAACCAAACCCAGTGATTTGTGTTGACTTGAAGTCCTTTCCGTTGGACTGTCTTTGGTCACAGACCTGATGAAACTCCAGAAGGTGAATAATGTGAAAAAGAAGACGGGAGGAAAGAAGACGGAGAGCGTCCTCTCACCTCTGACCCCGGCTCTGTGCTTTGACTTCCACCCAACGGTAAGTTGGTCAGCGTGAGGTCCGGCCCGACCCGACCGTTGTTGTCCTTGAGCATCATGGTGGACGCCGTCTTCTTGTCTCTCCTCAGGACACCGGTCTGTACCTGGCGGGTACGTGGGACGGTCTGGTCCACAAGTGCTCCTGCTCCAACACTCAGCAGGTTCTGGAGACGTTCAGGAAACACTTTGTAAGAACGCCACCAAAACCAAAGTCCACTTTCTGCCGTCAGCCGAGGACCAACCTCACCCCCGTCTCTGGTTTCAGTGTCCGGTGACCTGCGTGTCCTGGTGTCCCCTCAGTCCTGACGTCTTCCTGAGCTGCTCCTCTGATTGGACCATCCAGCTGTGGCAGCAGGACCAGCTCCGACCTGTGATCAGTTTCACTTCAGCTCAGAGGGCCGTCTGTGACGTCCAGTGGTCCCCGCGGTGGGCCGCCGTGTTTGGGGCGGTGAATGAAGGACAGCTGGAGATCTGGGACCTGAACTGGAGCACGTGAGTCAGACTGAGGACAGAAGACGTCCTTCACTCTCCTCCTCTGTCCCTCTGTGACCCGTCCTTTGTCTCCTCCTCAGTCTGGACCCGATCATTGTGCAGCCCGCTGCCCCCGGAGGAACCATGACCTCGCTTCTGTTCACGCCACAGTCTCACTGCGTCCTGGTCGGAGACGGACAGGGACGGGTGACGGTTTATCTTGTGGAGAACCTGAATGTTGGAGGTGGGGACCAGGTAAGAGGCGGGACACGGGTGGACCACGGGTCTGGACTCAGACTGGACGACACCAAACCTCAGGCACCGCTGCACCTTGTCTTTCAGGTGGACGTTCTCCGAGACATCGTCAGCTCTGCGGCTTCTTCACAGGTTTGACCCCGGGTCAGCACACTTGACCCCAAGTATCTGACCCCCAAGTTTAGAATTTTATTTAAAACATTTCCTCGGACCAGACGATGGTTTATAAACTCAGCTCAGGCAGCTGTCAATCAAACAGAAACAAAAACATCTGTGATAAAAACAACTGGTTTTTTTTCGTCTTCTTCCAAATTTTTTTTTTTTTTTTACTTGTTATATCCGAGGAAACTTTAACCAAAGAATTCAGAGACAGTGGAAGAAAATGTACTGATTTATTCTTCATTTAAAATAAAAAAAAAACAAAAAAAACACAGACTAGTGTTGACTTTAAATCTTTTCCTTATCCTGTAGGTGGCGCACCATATCTGGTAGTCATGTGTAACAGGGGTCATTTAGGGTCATCTGTTTCTTTGGTTCCTGGTGTGGTCTGTAGCTCCTGGTACTACGTCCATGGTACCAACAGTTCTCAATAATAATTAGTTCCTGGTGTTGAGAGGACGCCGTCACTGGGACGAGAAGTTCTTGGAGCAGCAGGAACCGATCCTGTCTGTGGACGTACTGGAGGACAGCAGACTGAACGGCCTGAGGACGGAGACGGAGACGGAGGGTGAGTGAGGACAGTTGTCCCCCAGTCCTCAGTGTGACTGTTCAAGTCTAAGTCCAAGTCAAACATAGTTCCATGTGATGTCATGTCTCAGCGTCCTCGGGTCAAAGGTCAAATCTCTTCAGTCTATATGGACTAGAACCTGATCAGGTCTGAACTGTCACTATATGGACTAGAACCTGATCAGGTCTCAGTGGTTCATTCAGACCTAACTGTCGATCAGAGTCTCTATGAACCGAGGGTTCGAGTCCAGAAAAGTCTGTCCTTCCTTGCTGCACTTGTCTAGTGTGTCTCTGAGGACAGGGACTGAGGACAGGGACTGAGGACAGGGACTGAGGACAGGGACTGAGGACAGGGACTGAGGACAGGGACTGAGGACAGGGACTGAGGACAGGGAACACTCACCTCCTGATGTGGGAGACAAAGGGAACGCGGGCGGGAGTGTGTGACGTCGTCGACAGGTTTAGTCTGGAGACGAGACGAGACACAGTGACGATGATGACGATGATGAAGGTCCATGGAGACAATACGATGATGACGATGATGAAGGTCCATGAAGACAATGACAAATCTGTGTGTGTGTGGTGTTACCCTGAAGACGACAACACTGATCTCTTTCCTTTCAGTTCTCTCAGTCTGTCTCCTTGGCTCAGGCTGCTTTTTTCTTTTTTGCTCTACACACAAAATAAAGAAGTTTTGGGTGCAATGTACATGCTGAACGGAAGGGGGCGCCAAAGCCAATCCGTTTACCTCGTCCATGCTGCAGGATTTGTGCAGAGTGGTTTTGATTGACAGGCCATCCATGCTGGTGACCAGACGGGAGACGGGTTCTGTCGTCCCCTGGTCCGGCAGGCTGCTTTTTTCGTTTTTGCTCTACACACAAAATACACAAAATAAAGAAGTTTTGGGTGCAATGTACATGCTGAACGGAGGGGGGCGCCAAACCAACGTTGTTCCATTTACCTCGTGTCCATGCTGCAGGATTCGTGCAGCGTGGCTTTGATTGACAGGCCATCCATGCTGGTGACCAGACGGGAGACGGGTTCTGTCGTCCCCTGGTCCGGGTCAGAACCAGGAAGAAGAAGAAGAAGAAGCTGATGCTGCTGAGGCTGTAACTGCTGCTGCTGTAACTGCTGCTGCTGCTGCCGTCGACACAGTCTCTGCTGAAGCAGTTTCTGTTTGGAGCGGTAGACGTCGCCCTGCACCCACAGACTGCACTGTTTCCTACAAACACACACCAGAGGTCAACGTCAGGATGGACCACCTGACCCTTGACCCTCAGGACGGACCACCTGACCCTTGACCCTCCCACTGTGGTCAGCCCAGATTGAGAAACAAGCTACGTTAGCTCCTTTAGCTTCACATGTTAGATGGGGGGGAGGTCTCCTACCATGACAGGCCACGCCCCTCTGTTGGACCACCCATCACCTCATTGGCTGGAGTTCTCCAATCAGAAGACAGCTGAGGTCAGTGTGATCTACAGCTCAGACGGTGCTGGTCTTCAGCTGCGGACCACACCACTGACCTTGACCTGAAGTGACATCTGACCTGGCTGTTAGCGCCACCTGCAGCTAATGAGGCTAAATGCTAACGACCGTCTGGACTCAGACTCACTCTTCTAGGAAGTTCTGCTGAGCACCGATGATGGATCCAGGTCGGCAGATTCTGATCCAGGCTATGGCTTCAGCTGCAGTGAAGCGGAAGTGTTTCATCAGGTAGCAGCCAATGAGAGTGCCCGTACGACCCAGGCCAGCTGTGATTGGGCAGAGACAGGGGTTCAGTGGAACAAAAACAATTCTTAAACTCCAGTCCATGAAGCCACGCCCACCTTTACAGTGAACGGCCACGGCTCCACCTGAACTTTCACACACGTGCAGGAAGCGCCTCACGATGATGTCAGAGGGCGTGGTGCCGTCCAGGAAGAAGAAATCATGGTGGTCCAGTCCGGCTCTCTCAAAACGCCGGCTGTCGTACAACTTCCTGTTCAAACGCACCACGGCCGTGACCTGGTTTTGGCAGAAGTACGGAACGTAGGCTTCGGGGGCGTGGAGGGGGTAGCCTGCAGGCGAATGAGCAAATTAGTGACATCTAGTGTTGGCACTGTGAAGTTGAGGAAGCAGCAGATCTTCTAAAAGTCCCACAATGCACTTCTTCCCAACATCAACCTTTATCCAATCGATGCCAACGAGGTCACAAGTATTAGGGTCTGAACCAATGAGAACATATGGGAGGGGCTAATCCAGCTAACGCTAACCAACCAGCCATTGTCAAACCCAGTGTTTTGAACCTTTTGTTGATTCAGTCATAATTAAAACAAATAATAATAATAATAATAAAACAAATACAACGTCCCGTGGTTCCGACTCACCGTTCTCCGTCTGACTGCGGTGGTGGGGGCTGCTGAAGGCCAGCACCTTCCCTGGAACGATCCAGTTCATGTCTCCGTTTTCCACACGCTGCAGAAGAACAGGAGAACTTTGGTTCAAAGGTCACGACAACGACGTCAGGAAAGACGGACTCTTGACGTCGTCTCGTCGTTCTCACCTCAAAGTGTTCGTATTCATCAACACTGAAGTTTTCAAAGTCCAGGAAACTGAGCTGCAGTGACTGAAACGACCAGACGGGGAGACAAACGTCACGGCTGAAAAGTCAACGGTCGTTTTTACAACGTCACTTCTCGCGGTCGCTGGCGTTCCTACCTTGTGTACAGCTTGTAGGCAGTGAAGTACAGAGAGGTTGAAGGTAGACGCTCCTGCTGCTGCGTCCCTGCAGGAGACAAACAGTCAGTCACCTCAGCAGGAGGAGGAGTGGGACGAGGGGGAGGAGCCTAAACAAACTAACAAACATCAGAAACATGTCTGAGGAGTTGGTGTTTGTGGTGAAGGTTCTGTTTTCACTGTCTAATAACGACTCCCTTAAACCAGTTATTATACCTCACGTCCCCCCAGGGGGGCCCGCCCCACCATTTGAGAAGCAACCAAGCTGACGAGACCTACAGCCAATGACCATGTGACCAGTGGAGTCGAACTACCCACCTGAAGGGCAGGAAACCTGCGTTCTTTCCTGAGACCAGAATCCTGTAGGCCTCTTCTGGACTCTTCTTCAGGTGGATGACCTGCAGACAGGAGGACGCGGTCAGTAGAGTACAGGGAGATGGACAGGGGACAGATGGGACAGGGCTGCAGGATATTTACCGCGTAGGCACCGATCAGGAAGGCAGCGTTGGCTTTCTTCCTCTGGTCATGGGAGGTGAAGTGGACCAGCCTCTTCCTGGACCAGGTGAAGGACTGAGACCAGAGTCCAGATCAGACGGTATGACAGCACCATGTGGGAAAATTCAGTGGACAATCAGTGACGTCCACTGTCCAGTAGGACGACAACTCAAGATGACCAATGAGGCTGTGATTATAACGAGGTTTAATTATAACGAGGTTTAATTATAACGAGGTTTATTGTCCACGGGTTTTTCCGATCTTTCGTCCGATGTTGTTTTAACGGTACTGTTACCACGGGTTCATTCGTCAATGCTTCTACAAATCAACGATGGCCAATCAGAGTCATGTTGGATTGGATTAGCATTAACCACTGCACCACCGCGTGGCCCGTGTACCATACAGACAGGGTTATTGATCAGGTTTGTGGTTGTATTCATGGTGCGACTGTGGTGTGTTGAGGTCAAAGGGCAGTCAATGTGACCCACCGTCAGCTTCCTGTTGACTTTGCTGCAGTATCTGTACAGCACGGCGAGGTTGAGGGGACCGAAGTCCTCATAGAAACTGTAACACAAACACACACACACACACACACAGCTTACATGATGACGAGGCAGCGCCGGGTTCTTAGATCAAAATAAACCTGATTTCATCAGTTTGTGTTTTTGGACGCCTCACTGTACTGCAGTACAGAGAACCCAGGACCCAGGACCTGGAGTGCTGCCTTCAGGAGCTTCAACCAGTGCAGCAGCAGATCAGCAGCAGCAGATCAGCAGCAGCAGATCAGCAGCGTCAGATCAGCAGCGTCAGATCAGCGGGACAGGAGCGACGATCACCAGAGCCCAGCTGCTGATCTCATGTCGACCTTCCTCTAACTTATTAATCCAAGCTGGTTAGCTAAGTTAAGTTAAGTCGTCCAGTGACTGACATATAATCACAACCTAGATAACAGTAACAGAAAACCTCAAAAAAAAATCTGACCATGAGCCAAACAATATAACAGAACATTTTCACAAAAAAAAAAAATCTAAAGGTTAGCCATTAGCCATTAGCAGAACGTAATCACCTGTCGTAGACAAACTCTTGGTCTGTGCTGAAGAACACGGTGTTGGCCGTGGTCTGTGGCTTCACATCAACACTGACGAAATACAGACGGTCTGTAAGAAAAGAAACAGACACGTTAACATTTTCTGTCCATCAGTTCCACGTCAAGTCTCTCCGTAAAATCTGGGCGAACTTCAATCTTGACGGGAATCGGATTTTCCTTCCCAACAGTCGAGGCAGCCCAAGTACACCCCGTGTTACACGCCCCACAGATTGAGAAGCACAGCCATGAACTGACCTTTAACAAATTCACACGCATCTTGAAGCTCACGGTCTTCCGCCATCTGACGTCTGTTCCCGTCAGTCGCTGAAGTTCAGCCGAACTTTTCTGGATCTTCTTGAGTGCGGTTTGGTGTCAAACATCACGACAGCAGCTCCGGTTTCCGGCTGCTCCGTCTCTGACACCCGTGTGTGCGTAAAAGCTGTCCAATGTGTCCAAACTCTGTGTCCACACTGTCCTCCGTGACAAGAGACGGGAGGACACACGAGTCTGAGCCAGAACCGAGACCGGGCGTCTCCAATCGGAGTGCGCACTAATCTCCTGTCCGCTCACTGCGCACACGCACCTAAGCAGATTTGTGTCTATTCTTAAAAGGTCTGCGCTCCAGATAAACCATCACGTAGAGGCTGGACCGACGTAAGACCAACGAAGAAGACCGAGTTAGCCACGGATGACTCAACAACGACGATAACTGGTGAAAAGTGTCTAAAGGACAGAAACTAAAACTTCACTAAAGTACACCTAAAACTAACAGCTATTTATTATACAGTTAAAACTTTCTTAATATACAATACATTTTAGAGTTAGCCTAAATAGCAGCACGTTAGCTAAACCCCGCTTAAAACGCGTTCAACAACGTGTAAAAGTTAGCACTAAAACAAAAAAACATCACAAAGTTAAATAACGTTAAACAAGAACTAAATGTTACTTTAAAACTACAAAAGCAACAAATTACAAAATGAAAATGGTTATATGACAAAAAAAACAAAACACAAAACTGTCGAGGTACGGTAGGTGTGTTAGCATGAGCTAATTCTGATATAACAGTGACCGGTCCGTGTTGGTGATGGGAGAACGTTCTAGATCTGACCTGAGGAATGTTTCTGACTCCTGTCAAATGTCTGAGCTCCGTGACGGAGAACTTCCTCAAACTCCGCCCCGACTTCACGCCCTCACACCGGTGTGTCAGGCGCTGAACACACGCTCAGAGAACCTGTTTGTTCGGACGTTCCTGTGTGGAAGTTAGCAGCTAGCTTCACCGACGTCTGCTAATGAAGTACTATTTCAACTTTAATTAACGCTCTCTGTGTTTGTTTGTGTGTTTGAACATCGGTCTGAAGTCTGATTGGACAAACAAAAGGAAATGCTGCCCTCTGCTGTTCAGTATTGGTATAGCAGCTGACAAAACAGAAAAGGACAGAAATACGTTATTAAATGGTATCGAGTGTTTTTATAGAAGAGTAAATACTTTTAAATTTAAGAGGTTTTGTTGACAGTAACGTAGACTGCCTGTCCAGTGTGACGGTCTTCAGACCTGGACTGCGGTCTGCAGGTCAGTCTTCAGTCCGGCCACAGCAGAAAAGGACAGAAATACGTTATTAAATGGTATCGAGTGTTTTTATAGAAGAGTAAATACTTTAACTACTGCTTCTCTGTGGGCTTTATGTCGGGACTCATTTGTTAAGTTTTGTTTTGTAACTTCTCTAATGTTGAGTGAGAACATCTGACAGAACTGCTTTAACTCAGGTGACTGTGATACCACCCAGCACCACAGTTGGCGCTGCAGCATCATCATCATCATCATCATCATCAGCCTCAGCTGGGTGTCAGCGGTGTACGTGTGAATCAGAAGGCAACAGAGAATCATGTCAAGGACGAACAGGGAGAGTGAACGTCTCTGTCTGCATGATGACGTCACGTCCTCCTCCTCCCCCCTTCTCTTTGCGCGTATTTATCACACACCGCCCGCCCCCACTGTCCAGGTGAATAAATCCAAACGCATTCATTTTATTTTATTTGGTGATAATGAAAATGAAGGTGATCTTTTAATCTGGTGCTTTTCATTTTTGTTGGGGAGGAGGTGATGGAGGAGGAGGTGATGGAGGAGGAGGTGATGAGCTCCGGGATGGATGGAGGAGAACAAAATAATGCGACAAAAAGACCTGCAGATGTCGACCCTCCCTTCAGGCATTTACAAAAAAAAATCTGTTCTTCTGTGGTTAGATGTTGACTGATATACAGCAGATTAGAATCTGTCCCTGGGCTGTGTCGTTGTCCGGGGTAGAGGCGTCTCAGACTCCCTGGTCCTCTTCACCAGAGCCGCTGTTTGTCAGGCATTTACACTGCAGCAGTAGAGGAAAAAAAGAAAAGAAAAAAAAAAACACTTAAAAAAAAAAGTTGGGGTGTAAGGCGCTGTAAAGCCACTAGATGGCAGTATACTTGGTGTAATGGTGTAAACACAACAACAATTCCACGCCGGCAGAATTCTAATGTTGACTTTTTTTATATATGTAATAAAATAATTCCGACATAATATTTAAAGGAGCCGTGAATTTGGAGCACGTCGTTCAAAAACTGATGAAACAGCTTCCGGTCTTTGACGTCAGTGAAACAGAAGATAAAATACAAAGTAACAGTAACAGTGAGAGGCAGACGTGAGTGAGAAGAGGCTCTGTGCTGCCCACTGCTGGAGGCTGTTAGAATCACCAGCTGTCGTGGTCGTCAGGTCAGAAGAAGACGAAAAGTAAAGGTTCAATCAGTGCAGAATCTGGTCGAGCGAAACAGACGTGTCTCTCTCTCTCTCTCTGTGTGCGTGTGTGTGTTTGTGTGTGTGTTCGCTGCTCAGTCCCTGCACTAAGCAGCCAAGCAGGAAAAACGTCTTCCCCTCCTCGGGGTGGCTGGTGACGTCACGGCTCCATGCAGCGTTCAGGTGCTGTGATGGGATTAGCAGTGAGTCGGTGAAGCTGGAGCAGATTTGTGTTGTCTTAGTGTGGTTCCATTTTATTATTGCGTCATCATTTCTTCACTAATAATTAACGCAGTGTCGTCACGTCACGCTGACGCTTATTTATTTGTTATTATATATTTTATATATATTATATTTATTATATTTTTATATTCATCTAAATCGACTCCATTTGAACCCGTATTGAACTTTATTTTCTTTACAAACCATAGAATTGTTCACAAGAACTCTGCTGCAGTGACGTGTGCACCAAAGATGACCGATTTAAAATACTACACCATACGAAATACTGCCTCTAGTGGTAGCGTCGGGTCACCGAGCGAGGTAAGGACAGTGAATGAGGTGTCAGTGAATCAGACTTTCTGTTGGCTGTGATGTAAACGGTTTAAAAACGTTTACTTGTCCTTTATGTTCACCTGGCAGCTGATTTGTCACACAGCAGGGGGCGCACACGGTCAGTGACCATCTGACCGTGGTTGGTTTTCCACCTCCTCAGATTACAGGGTTAAAGAAAACTCAAACTCAAACTCAAACTAAATGGTCGGTGAGAACAAACGCGAGTGACTTAACACAAAGGAACCTCAGGCTTTGATCCTTTTAAGTGTACCAGCTCACGCTGGTACTCGTCACAGAGACCATGTATCCTCAGGAGAGGGTCCGAAGACGGGGAGTGAAAGATGGATGAAAATAAAGGGCGGAAAATAATACTGCGATCGATCGAACGAGTCAACTCCAGGGGAATCGGTCGACTGACCCTTCGTGCACCTTGACCTCACGTGAGGCAGCTGATCAGTCTGAATACCTGAGCAGTGATCAAGGTCTCAGATAGTACATGAATGGACGTGATAGCCACTGATTGACCAACAGAGGCGCCGTCTGTTGGCTGTAGAACGTGTGTTTGAATGGAAATCAGCGGAACACAGAGGCGTCTTTCTCTGCGTTCAAAACCTCTGACGTTCTGTTAAAAAAGGTAATGAGTTGAATTTCCCCAACTCATTCAGACACTGGTTGAATCCCCATCACATCACTGCCACCTGCTGGGTGTTCTTTGCACTGATCTTGATCTTGTGACTGTGAGGGTTTGTGTAGGTGATCCGTTGAAGGAATCACTGGGATCTCGTTATATTTTTTAACACATTTTGGGGCTGAAAACAAGGCAAGGTGAACCAGGGTGAGGTTCCGCCGTGACTCCTAAATCCTGTTCGTTTCTCTGGGTTTACAGGCGTCGTGTGTGAATAATGTCACGCCCACAGCTCCACCCACCGGAAAAAACGCCGTGTTGCAGTTCTCCTTCTCCTTAGACAAACAGACTTTGACGTTTCCCACCGCACCTGAATGCAGCAGAGGTAGAGAGACGGACAGAGAGGAAGAAAGAGAGAGAGAGAGGAGGGTGGTTTACGGGTGGTGTTAGAGGAGGAGGAGGAAGAAGGCTGTCACTGTCGACGCGGTTCATGCTGTTTATACCGCAGAAGTCAGAAAAAAAAAACAAAAAAACATCGCACATGAGACGGACGCGACGGAGAGTCGTGTTGAATACACACGGACTGAAATGCAGGAGACGGCAGCATCCGTTAGCTTAGCGCTGTAGCATCTCTGGGTGGTTAAATAATAAACGCTAGAGACTGTAAAAACGTAGATAACAACCGAGCACAGCAGCCGAGCTGAGGTCAGCAGCAGGACGACAAGGGAGAGGAGGAGAAGAAGAAGAAGAACAAGAGCGGCATCAGGAGCAGCGATGAAGTTCACGGAGCATCTATCCGCTCACATCACCCCGGAGTGGAGAAAACAGTACATCCAGTATGAGGTGAGTTAGCCTCGACCTGCTAACACGGCTAACCAGTTAGCGCCGTAGCTCACACAAACAAACTAACCCCAATTTTTTTTATTGTACACATTCAATGTATTCTTCGTTTTATTTATTATATCGGTAATTTTTTTAAATTATTCCTTCCACCTTCTCCCCAATTTTTTAGCGGTATAGGAACGCTCCTGATGCCGATGTTTTGTTACTAGCTAGCTCAATTGCTATTAGCAGTTCCCGGCGTTCGTTCACAAAGACTTCCCTTAATGTTTTCATGGTTAATATCGTTTCCTAAAATCATTATGAGTGGACAATGGATAAAATATTTTAAATAGTTAAATGTTAGGTAGATGATATTAGCAACCAAAAATGCAAAAAACAGAAAAATATATAATATCGTTTAAGAAATTCACAAATAAACTAAAAAAAAAGGTTTAAGAAATTCACAAATAAACTAAAACAAAAGCTAAAATGTCACCTAAAACAATTACAAAGTAACCATAGCTAGCATTAAAAAACCCAATACAGCTCGAATCTGGCAAAGCTTAAAAAATAATTTATAAACACCTTCCCTTAAATTAGCTTAAATCAGCACAAATAGCTCAGAAATCCCTTAAATCTATCGCAGCATCAGTTCAGTTAATAAACCTACGTTGTTATAATTGTTTCATAGCTGACAAATGTTATTTTGTACTTAAATCCTGTGGAGTGAACGGCCTCTGTCATCATTGGTATCTAGATGATGTGACACAAATTATTAGTTCAAATATAACAACAATGATAAAAAAAGAAACTTGAAGTTACTAAAGCAGGATTGTTAGCTACACGTCTGGACAATGCCACCTTTTCATGACTCCTCACAGCTCCTCCTCAACAGGAATCTGGACACTGTACTCCAGAATGAACACCTCAATATGTATGCACATAAATAAGCTGCCCTAGAAGTGTAGCTTTTTTTTGTTTGCTCTTAGCGAGTCCAGATACAACAGGAATGTCGCTTGTTTCTGCGAGTGCGCCCCCCACCTGAGAGCAGCAGCAGTAACCTCTGCGTTGTTTCCTCCACTTATCGCAGTGTGTTCTCATTTCTCTGTGTAATTCTTCATCTGCATTCAGCCAGTGGTCCTGCCTGCAGCACATTCTTCTTTCTGTCGCTCTCTCTGAGTTCTGAGGAACGACACTAACTTAAGACTTCGAAGGAAAAAAAACCAGAGTGACGAAATTTCACACTTACACAAGTTGTAGCGGAGAGAGTATCACACGACAGCTCGTTTTGATCTATTTCCAAACTTTAAAAGTTGCCAATTTTTGGCAACTAATGAGCGTTTAAAAAATGTTTTTATAATACATTAGTGAACCGTAAATGTTTATCTTGTTCCCAGCCTATTTTTTCAGTCAGCTAATCTGCTGTGAAGGAGTTGCACCAGTTATAATAGTCATAATAATAGTCCATTAAATCAGTCAGTGTGTGACTCAGTTCTGTCTTCCTTTCTTCCCATCATGCTGGTGATTCTTCTGCCCCTCTTGAAGTTGCTTATTTCTACAGAACCTTCATGCTGAGTCGGCTCAGTCCAGACCTAACGCTGTTCAAACACAACACAGATGTGGCTTTGTCGGTCTCCCTGGCTGTTGTTCTGACCCGGGGCCGGGCTCAGCTTCAGTCCTGTGAACAAGCAGAAGCTTCCAGGTCACGGAGGTTTGCTGAGCCACGCTGACCTTGTCGTCAACGTGAATGTTGTTGTTTTTTAAAGGCAGCTGTGTTTGGGTCAGACACTAACGCTAAATAAATCCACATGTTTTTGTGGGAGCTGCTGCCGTAACGTGACGGAAGCCGAGTCGGAGGCTGTTTTGGTTTTGATGCTGGTCTGGTCTCTTCTGACCAGGGTCTGTGATTTATCTATGTAGCAGGTCAAAGATATAAAGGTGTTGTTCTGCCTTGACATGTTTGGACACTTTCTGTCTTCCTTAGAAACATCACTGTAGCCCAAGCAGGGGCGATGTTGCCCCCTGCTGACTGCTGCGGGAAGTGTACGACCCTGCAGTCAATGTCAGCTCTAATGTTCAAGCTTTTCCCTCTGAACCCTGTCGTCTGCTGGCTACACCGTTAGTCTGTTCCAGGAGTGTTGTTGCTAACGTTAGCTCTGTGGTCTGTTCCAGGAGTGTTGTGGCTAACGTTAGCTCTGTGGTTCTGTTCCAGGAGGGTTGTTGCTAACGTTAGCTCTGTGGGTCTGTTCCAGGAGTGTTGTGGCTAACGTTAGCTCAGTGGTCTGGACGTTACCCTCACTTCATGCGTCTTGTTCTTCTTCTTCTGACTGGTGAACGTGTGTTACCCTTGGTCTGGACATGTCTGGAGCGTGTTTGTGATGTCACCTCTGTCTAACACAGTTTTACTGAGTCAACATAATGCAGTGCTTCATGGGAAGTTGGTTTGCTGATGGTTGCTGTTTTCAGTCGCAGCACACAGAGAAGCTGATAAAAACAACCCAACAGTCGATGATGACGTCAGCAGACTGTTTTATCTTGTCCAACAAGCTCGCCAGAAAGACTTGAGTGTTTGGTCGGTGGTGACGCTCAGAGTTGAGAGCAGAACTTGATGGAAACACCTTTCTCTGATGTCTTTGAAGGCATCGTTAATCATCAATAAGAAGATCATCAAAAGAAGAAAAAACTGTTTTATTCAGAGGGTAGAACAGCCAACCATCAACCACCACCTGACTGGTATCACAGCACGGTGGTCTTTGGTGTTTCCACTGTCATCTCCTGTCTTTATGCGTTAGGACCAAACCAGGGGAACAAGAAAATATTGAAACGCCAATATATCTTGACATGTTGTTTCCTGATCCCGTATCAATCTCCTTCTCCATCAGTTCTTGATTTTTTTCTCCCCAGTTCCCAGTCCAATATTCCTGGTGTTGGTTCATGTTCATGTTCTTTTCTTTCTTCTCTAGTGATTCCAAATGTAGATCCTTCTGTTCCAGAGTTAGGAACTGATGTTCAGATGGAACAGACTCTGAGACTAGGATCACACTGGGGGGGGGGCAGAGTCTGAGACTAGTATCACACTGGGGGGGGGGCAGAGTCTGAGACTAGTATCACACTGGGGGGGGGCAGAGTCTGAGACTAGGATCACACTGGGGGGGGGGCAGAGTCTGAGACTAGGATCACACTGGGGGGGGGGCAGAGTCTGAGACTAGTATCACACTGGGGGGGGGTTCAATGATGATGACGGTCTAGATCCTGAATCGCTCATCTGGAATCAGGTTCTTTTTTTAACCTTCCCAGTCCAATATTCCTGGTGTTGGGTGGGGGTAGAACAAGGTGAGGAGTGGAGTGGACAAGGACACAGGGAGGATAATCTGGGAGGATAAGCAGAGCTGCTGTCCTCCCCACAGAGCTGCCCGTGTTTTGTTTTGGAAACTTGTGCCTGAGCACATGCTGAGCCAAACCTACTGACCAAACACACACACACACACACACACACACACACACACACACGCACGTCCATGGAACTCTTGGAGAGTGTGGGAAGCAGATCTCATGTTTTATGTTCACACCAAAATCAAAGGTTCGATTCCCTGACCCCTCTCTCTCTCTCTCTATCTCTATATCTATCTAGCTCTCTCGCTCTCGTGCTTGTTTAATTCTTGAAAACATTTTTAGCAGTGCAGATGGAAGAGCCTCAGGTGCAACAGTCGGTGTGAGCCAGCTATAATGTGACCTTGACACACACACACACAGACAGACAGTTCTGTTGCTGCAGGAGTCCTTGTGTCCCACTGTTGTGCTGCCTCTTTACGGCCTGTTGGCGGTGAGGGACTCAGAGAGAAGACAGTGTCAGCCCCAGAGCTGGAGCCGTGGGGAGAAAGAGCGTGTGTGTCCTGACGTCTGGCTGGGAGTCAGAGAGACTCAATGATTTTCATTGAGTTCCTGTTGATGGCAGCAGATGAACTGAGCTGCAGCGAAACTGTTGACCCACTGAGAGGAGACACAGCAGACAACAATGGACTGTTGTAGCTAACGCTAGCTCTGGTGTCTGTACCAGGACTGTTGTTGCTAACGTTAGCTCTGGTGTTTGTACCAGGACTGTTGTAGCTAACGCTAGCTCTGGTGTCTGTACTAGGACTGTTGTAGCTAACGTTAGCTCTGGTGTTCGTACCAGGACTGTTGTAGCTAACGTTAGCTCTGGTGTCTGTACCAGGACTGTTGTTGCTAACGTTAGCTCTGGTGTTTGTACCAGGACTGTTGTAGCTAACGCTAGCTCTGCTCTCTGTACCAGGACTGTCGTAGCTAACGTTAGCTCTGGTGTCTGTACCAGGACTGTTGTTGCTAACGTTAGCTCTGGTGTTTGTACCAGGACTGTTGTAGCTAACGCTAGCTCTGGTGTCTGTACTAGGACTGTTGTAGCTAACGTTAGCTCTGGTGTCTGTACCAGGACTGTTGTTGCTAACGTTAGCTCTGGTGTTTGTACCAGGACTGTTGTAGCTAACGCTAGCTCTGGTGTCTGTACTAGGACTGTTGTAGCTAACGTTAGCTCTGCTCTCTGTACCAGGACTGTCGTAGCTAACGTTAGCTCTGGTGAAGCAGTAACACGGTGACAAAGATGATAAAGTGACTGTTTTCTTTTCTGCTTGTCTTTTCCAGGCCTTTAAAGAAATGCTCTACGCTGCTCAGGACCAGGCTCCATCTATTGAAGGTAAGGGACGACGTCAGTCTCTGGTTCCAAACCCTGTTGTTGATATGACATTATACTGAAGAGAGACTGCAGCTGCTGTGCTGGGTGAACCTTTAAATGTATTAAAATACATACAGACGTCTCTGTCCTCAATGTCCCTGGTAATGTTAGAGTTTGTTAGCGCCACCCATGTGTCAAGGTATTGAATGGCTCAGTGAACCTCCAGTGTTAACAGTTGTTGATGGAGTTGGATTTTTGGCTTCACTCTCCAACGGTTGTGTGTGATCACAACTTGTTTTCCTGTGGCTGCAGCTCCAGGATCTGCTCCAGGCTGTGAGTCTTAATCAGTTAATTATGAGCCTCGGTTAAAGAAGCCACAGCATCTTGGCCTCACACTCTCAGAGTCTTAAACGGTCTTAAAAACAGTCATCAGAGTCTCAGTCTTCATCATGGAATCACCGCTGTCTCAGTTCCACAGTTCCAGGAAGTGAACATCAGACTGAAAAACAAAGTCCTGGGTCACTGAGAACCAGAACCAGAACCAGAACCAGACTCAGACGTCTGAGGAGGAGAAGCTCTCAGCTGCAGCATCATCACGGAGACACATATTTAAGTCAACACAGAGAAGGAGGACATGGACTGATGTCCCTCTGGTCCCTGAACCAAACCTTCTATCTGTACAATTCATTTTTTCATTTTAAATTTCGTGGGTGAGGCTTATATTCAGGTGCGCTCAATAGTCCGGAAATCACGATGCGGTACTTTACGCTTTGCTTTGATTTTCCTAACTTATTAATCCTCTCACATGACCGTGTGACACAGCTCTCCTGCTCTGTTCCAGTTCTGTGTTTTTTTTTGACCACAAGATATTTTTTTTCTATGACTTGTTTCTGACTCAGGTTCTGGAAAAACTTCAGATGAACTTCCTCTCACGTCGCCGTTCAGTCACCGACCTTTGACTGACTGACTGACTGTCTGTCTGACTGTCTGTCTG